CCTTTGAGATCGTAGGGATACTTTTCACTATAAGAATCGAGTAGAGGCCAATACGGGCGAATGTGACTCCATGACTCACTTCGTACCATCATCCCCGATTCTCCTTCCATGGTTCCGAACCATATGAAGTTAGTAATCTCATGGATTATGAATAGGGTGTAACCTTCATGGGTCAATCGTTGTTGTCTATCGTTATCCCTTAATCATGGTTGCCTTAAATGATCCGTGGACGGTTTACAAGTTCCTTAAAAACTTTTTGGCGGCTCCCTACCTTGCTTTGTCCCTAATCGTATATGTCAAATCTCACTTCTATGATTGTCAAGCATATTCACACATGCTTAAGTAGGCGCGCTTCGAATGACGCCTACAATAAGTAAGGGAATTTTTTCACCGATGTTTTTGAGATAACATTTGCACAATATATGATATAGTAAATGTTTGAGTTTCTGGTATAGAGGATCCCAAATATGGGCAACTATAGAGCATACTCCTCAAAACATTTAGTAGTAGATAGTATTATTTGTTATAAATTTTGAGAGTAGGTATAAATATACCTGACTAGGAATTGGTGCTGATAACGTGTTAAAATTTTTACCGATAGTTGGGATTTATCAGTGAAGTTATAGAAAGTAAGTAGTATGATAGAAGTTTTTGGTTTTTACCCGCACTCGTTCACATACGCGAACTTCTCTTATATAGCCAAAATTATGGAGTATAATAGTATACATTATTGTACTACATGTAAATTATTGTACTAGGTAAAATTGCATCAATCAGTTAAAACTACATGCATGTGAACTTCAATCATCTTCGGATTTTTCTCAACAGCGTTAAATATCTTTTCTTATTTGGTAGTAATTTAGGAATACAGGACAAAATCACGCACAAATCAGTGTAATTAATAAATATTTTTCATTAATAGTTTCCTAACTTCTTATTATACATATCCCTTAGGGCTATTTATAGCATTTTCCTATACTTTAATAGTACCTGCTTTTTCTTAGCACCATTCGCACAATCACACACTTCTGTTTGATTGTGTTTTGTGATTTATACGTAATAAAGAATATAGTCATGTGCGATCTTGTTTGATTCATAATGATATATATATTTTCAAAATAACAATTTATACTTCCTTTGTTCTTTTTTACGAGACTTGTTTCTTTTATCACGCTTGCCAATGAAAAACTTTAACGATCAATAACTTTAATTTTCCATAAGTAAAAATTATAAAAGTTATATATTATGATAGTACTTATTGAGACGAATTTAAAATGATTCCACATGAATATGTTTTTCCTTATGTATTACTAGGGTGGCTAAGGCGCGTGATGCACGCTATAGTTAGCCATGTCCAGGGACCTTTTTCAGTTGTTGGTTACATTGATAAGGGAAAATATGTAAATAAATATTTTAGGGGTATAAATGTCTTCACACTATGCTAAATAGTTCAAAAAAAAAGGTACGTAGAATTAATAAAGATAAAAAAAGACAATTAAAATTGATGAAGGCAAAATATAAACTTGTAAATAGTAAATAGTAATTAGGGTAAATATGTAAATGCACATTTTTAAGGATATAATTGGCAGCACACTATATATAAGAGTAATCTTGTACTTTTTATAAGGTATGGATTCACAAAAGACGGTCAAAGGAGGGATGGTGAATAGTGTAAAAGTCAAAGCGGTAAAAAAAGAACGGAGGAAGTATAATTTTTGTTTATTGGTAATAAAATATATTAATTGTTGAATTTGTGTATTGGTAAATATGAGTAATGAAATATGTCAACTAAAAAGAACCGGGGAAAGTATCTTACTTTAATTTTCTTGTCAAATATTAACTTGAATTAAATTTTGTTTTTAAAATGGCACCTTTACTACCAAAAAGTCAAGTTTTCAGCGTTTGCCTTTCATTTTTTTCACCAATTATGGTCACAATGGAGCTTGTGAGAGCCATCCAATGTATAAATAAGAACTTCAAATCATTCTACCTTAATTTAACTATCTCCTCATTCAATGGAGTGCATCACATGCGCACACAGATGGAGGAAAATGTAAGTCAAACGCTAGAAATAAAGTATTTTTTAATAATTTTGAGACACTTGAGAATAGAGGACAGGGTAAGGGAATCTATACCCTCAAACACCCTTACTTCGTAGAATTCGAACCCTATACCTCTAAGATTTGAGGTAAGAAACTTATCAGTTGAGTCAACACTTTGTTCGTATTTATTATAATATGATGTATTTGGATTTATGTAAGAATAATCATTTTTTAAATTCTTAAGATTGATTTAATTTTATAAACAAAGACATATATGTGAACTCAAAATAGTGACATCATTGCCTATGTAATGATATAAAGAAAAACTATTCACTATAAAGTATTCGTATAAGTTTAAAAAAAATTAGAAGAAATATTCAAAAATCATTATAATCATATTATATACCTATAATAAAGTGAAGTTTTTTTTTTAGGGAATTTTCCCTCCTAAATTATACTTTATCTTTTTTTTTAAGAATAATTAATTTGACTAGGAAATTTATTTTATTTTTTTATTTGTGATTGAGTATTGAGTTACATTTCTTTACACAACGCATATCATTTCTTTGCGGCTGGTCACATAGTGTGACAACTCGTAAAAAAATAGAATAGCCCCTATAACATGACTTAGTAACCCTTATCATACTCAGAGTAACCCCTTATTATACTTATTGGGTAACCCTTACAATATTGACAAAGTAACCCTTATATTAATAAGTAACCCTTATAACTATAACAGAGTAACCTTTATAACACTAACCGAGTAAACCCATGGTCTCTAAAAGCTTCCATATTTTAATTTACTAATAATAATGTTAAAAATCAAGCATGGCTCGACTCAATAATTATCTAGACATCTAGTTACATTTAGTTTCATATAACGTTGATCGATTTTTTATTTTTTATTTTTATAAATTTTACGAAGAGGTAAAGGAGCTAGCTCCTCGCCAACACAGAGACACAAGAAACACAATGAAAGCAAGCAAAGAGGATTTTGATTTTTGCAACAATGTTCTAATGTTAACGCGCTCCTCCTTATTGCCTTTGAAAATGGCCGCAACATCTCTGCTTTTCGTGCTTATTTGAACATGGAGGGCTGCCGCCCCTGTTGTGGCTTCCAGACTATTGTGAATCGCTTCAAACTCTGCCCGTATGTTGGTATATAATTTATATCATCACATAATATATTTAGATGTGAAAATATAAGAAATATCATGAATTTTTGGTACTTAAACAACTAGTTCTGCCAAACAATTAATAATACCGGTTACCTTATCAGTTTTAACTTCATAGGAGTAGTTTCGGGTGTCACTTTATCAGTTTCAGGTAACTTATCAGTTTCAACTCCATTTCAAAATTGCCAAACAGAGCCTATAATGAATTTAGATTACTCCATGTTTAGTATAAACACACATTACAACTATGTACAAACAACATGATTTAGAGCAAGTTATGTGCATAAAAAAAGTTCTTGATTACACATAATTTCCATTTTCACAAATTATTTATGTACATGAAAATAGCAACTTTGTACAGTATTTGTATTACGTTACAAAATCATGTATGATAATAGAGCTCTTTCCCTAAATAATGTTGGGAACTTATCTAATTCCCAAAATACAGCTAATCTTTTTTTAATTCCCAATCTACCGTCCACGTCAGCTAAGTGAAAAAAACCGGTTTTTTTTTTTATCGGTCCAGCAACAAACCGCTACTTCAAGTAGCGATTTATAAAATTAAAACCGCTACTTTAAGTAGCGGTTTATAAAATAGAAACCGCTACTAGAAGTAGCGGTTTTTGATGTAATTTTTTTTTAAAAAAAACTATCAATAATATACAAAGAGAAGGGGAAAGTGATTTTTGACCACCACCCACAATAATAAAAAAAAAAAAGTGCCGAGTTCTCTACCACCAATTGTTCATGTACTCCAAAATCTGGAAACACAAATAATTTGATACCAAAAAAAAAAAAATCACAAAATTGATTATGTGTGAATTTTGCTTTGCTAATATCGATTTGATTGATCTGGGCAAAAATCCTTCCAGTTTTTTATGAATTGACAAGATTTTAACAGAAATTATAACATTTGTAAACATACAGTAAAAACTACTAGTAGAAATCTTATACTTTGTGCGCTTTGTACAAATTATTTGTAGGAACTATAGCATCTTTTTAAGGCTCAAAACGCTAAGTACGAACTATCAAACCTGAAAATGTCGAATTTTCTGCATATACACTGATTACTTCCTGCAGTATCAATCGCCAATAGTGGAACTAAATTGAAATCAAATCAAATTAACCACCACCACCACAACCTAGTAACCCCCACCTTAACCCACCCAAACACACCCAAACCAAACCAAGATCTACAACCCTAACCAAACAACCACCCAAAAATTAACAAAAAAAAACATATCTTAACACCGAAATTAAATGTTAATTTCTCATCGAATTTGGTTTAATACGGCCAAATTCGATCATGAAGCCTCTAGATCTAGAGGTTTCATGGTCGAATTTGACCTGAATTACCATGCGACACCGGCGAGAAAGAAGGCAGACATCACCTCCAAGGAGCGTAGGTTGCGTAGACAGCACCTCCAATGGCGGAGGAGAGAGAAGGAGGGAGGAGAGAAGGAAAGAGGAGAGGAGTTCAGAGAGAAGAGGAAAGAGGAGAGGAGAGAGAAAGAGAAGTGAGGCGTAGAGAGAGAAGAGGAGAAGGGGAAAGTGAAAGGAGGTCACTTACCCAGCCTTTACCTCCCATGCGTAGTTGAATGTAAAAAAACTTAGTAAATATAAACCGCTACTTGAAGTAGCGGTTTCTATTAAGAAAACCGCTACTTGAAGTAGCGGTTTTATTCAGTACATCGCTACTTGAAATAGCGGTTTGTAAAAAAAATCAATTTAAAAAAATTTCCACTGGACCGATGACGTGGACGGTATAGTAGGAATAAAAAAAAAAGTTGTTGTATTTGGGGAATTAGAGAAATTTTCAACATTATTTAGGAAAAGCATTCATGATAATAAGTTAATTAACATCAAAGATAAGTGGTCTGAAGATAGAATAGACAATAGTACATGCACACACCCAACCCAACTGACTTCACCTCACCTATGGCTTAACTTTGCCACTTTAGAGAGAGAAACCCATTGCCATTTGTTGAGCTTTCAGCAGAATTCGGCTTCAAAAACCAAGATTTTTTCACTTATTTTTTTTTATATAATCATATTTATTCACACCTTTTTGCTCAGTTTTGTTGTTGTTGGGTTGTGATTTTGCACTGAAATTTCTGGGCTTTTCGGCAAATTCGAAGAAAAAAATTACCCAATTTCTGAATCCCTAATTCATACCATTTGGAGCTCAATTTGCATGTTATTTTGGGATTTCTCTTAAAAAGGTTAGTAGATCTATTCTTTACCATTTTATTTAAGTGTTGTTCTTAGCTTAATCTCAGATCTTTCATTATACTATTTCTCAATTTTTCGGTTAGATTATGTAATTTTTTTTTAGCAATTTCTGTAAAAATTTTATTGGTGATTTTGGAATTTATTATTTTTTTTTGATGGGTTGATGTTAGATTTTGGAAATATTTTCTGGGTTTTGTTCATAATTAGTGTTTGTAATGAAATGGGAATTCTGTATAGTGATATTTGCATGCACAGAAAAGGAATTTTATGGCTAATGTTTTTATGGGTTGTGTTCCATAATTAGTATACTATGATGCTTGTGTTTATGAGATATTATATTGCACTTTGTGAAGAAGTTTGTTGCTAAAAAAGTAAAATATGTACATATTTAGCTAAATACTGTATTCAGAGAAGTAATTGATGTAATGCTTGCTTGAGAAACCAAGTGACTAGAGCTATCTCATGTACTATGATAATGGAGAGACTAAGTGCTGCTTATCTGTGAGCTCTTTACTTGTGGCTAGCTTATGTGACTACTGGCCTACCGGGGAGAGGGGGGGGGGGGATGTAAGCCACTGATTCGTGATTTCGTTACTTGGTTTGTGGTATAGACTGTATGACACATTGATCTAGGTTCTATGCCTGCAGTTTGTTTGCAGAGTGTAGTTGCTGTTCTTGGAAAGAAATGACTTAAAGTTACTAGAGTATGTCCTTTCATTGCTTATTTCGTGTGGGTTCTGTGGAATAGTATGTTTTTTATTAGACTTCATTCTTCTTTGTCTGTTGTGTAGTGGGATTCCCCCCCCCCCCCCCCTTTTTTTAAGAAAAAGAATCGTGTTTTTTAACACTACACCTAGGGATGATAACAAGCTGAATCGATCTTAGGTAGCTTGACTCTGCCCACAGCAAGTTGAGTTGATCTTAGAAGCTTTAGTCTTGGCTCACTATTGCAAGAGTACAATTCAAAGCTTACAATTATTTTGGGCGAAACCTTGTTTTCCCTGTAAACTCAAGCTTAGTTTTAAATGCATCTTTTGGTTTTATATCATAATGTGGAACTGAAAAAGTTTTTCCTCTTGAATAGTTGTCAAACATTTGCCTCCATAAATTATGTATTCAACTGCCAAATACATCACAATTCTCCATAAGTTATGTTGTAGGATATTAGTTTTTTGGGAATTCTGAAGCTTTGTTGAATTATTGTAGTTCATTTTCAATTGATTATTATTAGTTCATTTTCAAACAGGTGGGCCTGTTTGAGTCAGTTGAGTTATTTGTTTGTATCATTCGTACTACGTAGTAAATAGTATTAAGCTAACTCCTAACTGAATCATTATTGTACGATTTAGTGTAAATCCAGGGTTTTAGATGACTTCAACTAAATTTTACTATCAAAAGTTCTGTTCGAGGTGATATTTATTATGAAGTACTACCTCCGTTTTTTTTTTAGTTGACACGTTTTGACTTTAGCACTATTCACTCACTCCCCTTTGACCGTGTTTTGTGCTTTATGCCTGATGAAAAGTATAGTCATGTGGAATCTTGTTAGATTCGTCACAATATATATTTTCAAAATTTCAACTTTTTATAATTTTTGTTTATCGGTAATTAGAGATATTAATGGTTGAAGTTGTGCATTGGCAAACGGGACTAAAGAAACCTGTCAACTAAAAAAACAAACGGAGGAAATTAATTTTACTTCAGAAACTAATGCAACTTTAGGACATTTAATATATTTACATCATAGTGTTAACTTAATAAATAATTAATCCAGTCTTTTTGAATTGCGACATTACTTTTCTTGGCTTAAGTCACTTCTATCTCTCTTCACATCACATGGGTTGCTTGACTTGCCTGTTTGACTGTCTCCATCTCTGTCCTCAGCATATGGGCTTTTCGTGACTCTCACCTCCCTCCCATCCCCTCTGTTGCAGTTAAAAGAGAAGAAAGAAAGTAACTATATTATTTTTAAGATGTAAAGATGCCTACAAAATATAGCAATTTAAGATGTCAAAAATTGTTGCTAGGGTGAATATGACATTTAATTACCTCTATTATTTTGGTGCAGGGTTTGAGATGCTTTACAAAGATTTTGAATCTGACCTTTTCAATGTTGCAAGCTGGAGGGAAGGTGCATTCTAGTGAAATGAAAATAGCCTAAGACCAGAAATGATGTTCAGCCAGGATATCTTTGATATAGGAGATGATGGCTTTGAGGACTCAAATGACGAGATCCGCATTTCCCAGGAGGTGTTCTATGGAAATGCTGCGGTTGCCTGTAGTAAAAAATGTGAGATTCCTGGAGTTACCAGCTCCTTAAAGGAGCATGATGAAATGCTAGAGATTTCACCTAGTTCTCACAGTGAAAACTCGGCCGTAACCCATGAAGCTTCCTCAAAAGATCTGAGTCAGAAGGAGGCTGCTTCTGATGAACTCCAAAGGGACTTTCAAGCAATAAGCTCCACAGAAGGATCTATTCTGAATGAAAGGATTGATCATGATGTTCATGCAAAGCGGATGAGATATTCAGTGAATGAGCTGTCTAATTTTAAACCTTACCTTGATAAGGCTGTGGCTTCATCTGTTCCGCTGAAGCAAGTTGTTTCTGAAACTTATCATCCTGTGTTGCCTTCTCCCTGCCAAATTCTTATGTGCCATGTGGTTGAATCGTGCTGTGAAGGCGTGACATCTAGTTGTTACCTGTTAAAGCAATATTCTGAATCAGACCAAGATGGCAACTTAGGAGATAGCGTAACTCTTAATGGTAGCTTGTCAGGCTTGGATGGAAGTGAAGTAAAGCAAGTTGGTTGTAGTAAATCTATAGCCTCACCAATTTCCCAGGAAAGTTCTGCTACCAAACTTTTGGCCCCCAGCCCCACGGCCGTTGCAGTTAGTGAGTGTGGGTCACTAGAGCGTGCTGACATAAGTACTAAAAATGCTGCAACTTATCTTGAATGCGAAGATGATGAAATATTGAATTGTGACAACATGAAGGATGCCCACGCTATTCTTCGTTCCCGAGTATACCTATTGCTTGAAAAAGCTGGATGGTCTCCTGAGAAGCGAATAAGAAATGATGGGAGGAACAGATATGTTTACCGATCACCAGATGGAAAGCTTGTTCGTGAATTTTCAAAAGTTTGGGACTTGGTTGGTCAGAGATTATTTGCCTATGGCAACAGTAAAGTGACAGTAAGTGACAAAGAGTGGACTAATGTTCATCAGTTCTGCTCTGATATGTATGAGACACTAAGGTATATTGATAGTATAATGCCCGATGGGAAGCCTAAGTGTTCATTGAGTTGTCAATGGAGACTTCTGGATCCCTTTGTGAATGTGGTTCTTGTGAACAGAAAGATTCATGCACTCAGAGCTGGAACTGTAGTCAAAGCAAAGCAAAGTTATGTACCTGACGTGGACAGAGAAGGTGGGATAGATTTTAGACCAAAATCCAGGAAAGGTGATAAGAAGAGGCCTTCCATGGCCGTTAATACTGTGGAGACTCATAAAACCAAATCATTTTATGTTTCTGAAGGACATAGCATGCGTCTTGTAAAGACAGTTGCTAACACTGGAAATCACTATGTGGGAGCTTGTACAGATGAAAGTATGAATCCATGTCGCTTATCAGCATGTGGTTCTGATAGCACATGTTTACAGCATCCTGCTTATTTGTATGATGTTCCTGTTGGCTCTACTGAGACCCATGCAATCAATAAACAGCCTTTATCTCATCCATGGAATTGTATGAGCTCTCCAAGCTTTGATAAACATAACCTAAAATTTATCAAGGAAGGCTCCAAAGAATCGTCAGTTTGTTTGTTGGAGGAAGGAGCTGAACCGTCGGAAAGATCTGTCATTAATGCAGGACTGAAGAAAATGGACTGTGAAACTGAAGGGTTTTCTGGTGTTGAACTCTCCAAGCTATGCCAATCAGAAGCTGATGATATTCGTCTGACCATTGATAGGAGCAGTCAATTGAAGTTGGTTGATGTCCAGGGATGGTCTATGGATTTTGCTGCCAATGATAGAATCTCAGATAAGTTTCCAACTGGCCTCTTTGAGCATCAAAATGGATTAAAAAGGTCTATACTTGGAAAATCTCACCAAAGCAGATATCTTAGTGATTGTTGTTTAGAAAATCTAAAAGCTGGCAATGATACCAATAAACCCCATGCATATGATGGATCTTTTGAATCTCAGTCCTGCAAGAAAAGTATGAGGCCTAAAAAGCATCACAGCAGCAAGAGGCGATCAATGGGTTCCCGGCTTAAGGATGACGACTTGTTAATCTCGGCAATAATAAAGAAAAGAAGCTTCAAATCCAGCATTAATGAACGCGGCTCTGAGCCTGGGAAGTTTAAGTTAAAATCTCTGCAGAAGCGCAAGACTCAGAAAGGTAGTTGCAGGTTGCTTCTGCGGGGCACTGGTAAGGGTGGGAAACATGTCACAGATAGGTGGACATTGATTGATAATAGGACGGTTTTGGCATTGGTAATTAGTGCTGGGGCTATACTTGTAAAGGAAGTAGTTCAATACCGTGACCCGAAGGATGATGCTGTGGCTAAAGAAGGTGTTATTACAAAGGATGGGATTCTTTGTAATTGTTGCAGTAAGGTGTTTTCTGTCTCTAGGTTTAAAATCCATGCAGGTTTTAATCAGAATCGTCCTTGTTTGAATCTATTTGTGGGGTCTGGTAGGCCATATACTCTATGCCAGCTTCAAGCATGGTCGGCTGAATACAAGATCAGGAAAAGTGGCCCAAGACATGTGTCAGCTGATAGGTTTGACAAAAATGATGATTCTTGTGGACTTTGTGGTGATGGAGGAGAATTGCTGTGTTGTGATAACTGTCCTTCTACATTTCATCAGTCATGCTTGTCAGCAGAGGTTTGTTTGTGGCTTATTTGCTTATGTTTCTTCCTTCTACTATTAATATTCCTAATCACGTTGGCTATTTTAAAAAAATAAAATAAAATTATTGATTACTCCTTTAGATGACATCATCTGCCCACCAGTTGCAGAATAGCCATATAGACCTGTGTCAAGAGTAGGAATTATGTGTAATATTAACTGGATAAAATTGTGCTTCTGAACTTTTATATTGTTGCTGATGTAAACTGTTCTAGTACTTTCAGGCTCTAATTTGGATGGGAAATTTGCATGCATTATGTTGTTTACGCCACTCAAATTGGTACCAAAACTTGTTTGACTGGTAATTAGCTATTATTTTTTGGGTCTGCCTAAAGATAGGTCTCAGAATGGATTCTACTAAAATTAATATAAGACTCCATTTGCTGCCAGAGTTTCTTTCCACTGCTCTCATTTTGTTGATCAATACCTTCTGAAAATGGAGCAGCCATATTTTAGGCTGGAAGTATCTTTGTATTCATTGACCTGATTGATGAGGGTCCTGAGCATGTATCAATAGATGTTTCAGGCTTCACACCATAAATAGTTATCTCAATGACTCAATCCTATCCTCCTAGGAATAAGGGACACTTTCAGTATGGAAGAATACAAGATAAAAAAGTTTATCTGGCACAAAAACTTCCCTGCTATCTAATTGTAAAATGACTTTTAAATACAGATTACTCGAGTATGGTAAGCTTTTATGCAAAGAGTAACATGAGCTTTGAATTAAAGTAGAGAACTAGAGACTGTACAAGTATATACATGATTGGAGATGTCAATCTCCATGTAAGAAGATTAAGATCTCCTACCAGGCTACTATGTATATCCTTTTTGCATGTTGTATAATGCTATCCATTTGATACTTTCAATCTTTACTTTGAATCTATGAACACTTGCTAATATGGGTGAAGGTGCAACTGGTAGAAGTCTTCACCTTCAAATATTACTGTCGTGTTGTGGCGTAAATCTTGGTATGCTTAGTTTTTCTCTCTAGCCTGCATGTGTTTAGGTGTTTGTTTCTTACTTTCTGAATGAATTGGTCTACTTTCGAATATATGAACTGGTATCAGTATAGAATATAATAGTTGAATCTGCCACAATGATACTTCATGTGAAAATCATTGGCAGGACTGGTATTTGTGCCTGTGTAAGAAGCATGTGCTGTGCATGCTCCTATCATGTATTTGTCTTAGCTGTTGAAATCTGTAAAATCTCCTGTGTTATGATTTAAGATTTGGTGATTGTGTATATAGTATATACTTTTTTCTTTATTTAATTTGACATGTCACTTTTGCCAACACACAACTTTAACCTTTAATATCTTTTATCATGTATTAGTAAAATTATAGGAGGATGATATTTAAAAAATATAATACGATATAAATTAAATAATGACATTTTTTTTCTTTGTTACTAGAGAATGTATGGTCAAAGTAGGGTATGTGAATGATGCTCAAAGTCAGTGTAACACGCAGGGAAAAAAAATTATGTTTTGCTTTTTCTACAATATAGCGTCCTCAATATGAAGTTATTCTGAATATTATTTGTTTGGCACAGGAGCTTCCCGAAGGAAGTTGGTATTGCCCAAACTGCACTTGTGAGGTATGTGGAGCTCTAACCAACGATGCAGGAACCTCAAGTTCTTATGCTGCACTGAAGTGTTTCCAATGCGACAAAAAGTGTATATTTCTTTTACTGTTCTAGAATGTTCTTTGCTATAAGCTTCTTTCTTTTCACCTAAAAAACCCTTTCTGAATAGATTAGTCGGTTAGTCCTTATCTGAACTTATCATCTAACTGGTTGTCCTTTCTGAACTTTTTTGACCTTATTAGGATTAACTGTAGTTGTGAATTGAACAAGGGTAGGCCTTGTTCGATATTTTTTTTATTCACTGAATTTATTAATCTTCGTATTAATTTATTAAAATTTACATCTTAAAGAGACAGGAACGAAGTATTGCTATCAACCTTGGTGATAGTGGCTTGTCAATAAAATATACTACACTTTAAAGTCTTCCTGAGATTCTCTATATATGGGCATGATAAGTAAATAAGTAATTTATCCTTTCCTTTGTGAAGTTTTTTTTATGACTGTCAATTCTGCCAACAGATCATCAAGGGTGCTTGACAGACAAGAGTATGAGTAAGCTTGGTGGTGCACCTTGGTTCTGTGGCTCAGATTGTGAAGAGGTAATCAGGTCTATAACTTAAGTCCCCAACTTTCCCATCAGAAATGTTAATGTTGGCTGTTACATGTAGGACAAATTATGAAAGATAGTGGTAGACTGTAAGGTATCCATTTAGACAATTAAATTGTTCATGGATCTTCCTCAATTTTGGTTGACCTTCACAGTCCTTCTGCAAATGATTATGCAGGTCTTTGGTGGTCTACAATCTCGTATTGGCTTGCTGAACAAAATTACTGATGACTATTCCTGGACCCTTCTGAGATGCATCCATGATGACCAAAAAGTTTCTTCTGCTCAACGTTTCGCGTTAAAGGCTGAATGCAATTCTAAGTTAGCTGCTGCTGTTACCATTATGGAGGAGTGCTTCCTCTCCATGATCGATCCAAGAACAGGCATAGATATGATACCACAAGTGGTGTACAATTGGGGGCAAGTACCGTTGTTTGAATTTTAATAGCAATAATATATTTTTTTCCCCATGTATCGATACCTGAATTATGAATGCAGTTGTAAATTTGAGGTCATACTTAATTTGTCTACATGATCCACTCCGCGTATATAGTCCTTGGTGACAATCTAATAGCATGCATATATAGTGTGAAGTTTTCTGAGTGAAGTCTCTGATTTATTGGAACAAAAAATGAAGGCCAAACATCTCATTAAGCTTCCCCAACTTCAATAATAGGATTACTCATGAAAATTCAGAAAAAATATTCTTTCTGCCCCTCTGTAATTTGACCATCATGCTTTGTCCATCAAATTGCTATTAACTGATTGGCTTGAAGGAAATTTCTGTGAAGCACTCTTCTTTCATCTGTTTTGACTGATTTTGATGTTACTGATGCCAGGTCAGAATTTCCAAGACTAGATTATCATGGATTTTATACTGCTGTCTTAGAGAAAGATGATGTACTGATATCAGTTGCATCTATCAGGTATTATAAGTGGTTTTTATGATCCCATAGGCTCATATTTCTTCATTATACTTGAATGATTTATTTGAAAGTTACAATTCACTTTCCATGCCTAATTGTCATCGTCTTATTCTTGGTATTGTGCTTTATTGCTGTACTTAACAACTAATGATAGTATTTAACCTCAACGTTTACAGAGTGCATGGAGTAGCTGTTGCAGAGATGCCACTCATCGCAACTTGTAGCAAATATCGCCGACAGGGAATGTGTCGAAGTTTGCTAAATTCTATTGAAAAGGTATTTTACTTTGTATTTGGCTGCCTTCTATGTGGTGTTGGGGTTGTTTGACTTGTTTCTACCCCTGGTATTAATAACTGCACAAGCCAATTATACTTACTTTAACCAGAATTTATATTAATAAAGTTGGATTTGTGTGTTTCCCCACTTTTCATGTATGTGGAAACTCATTGTTTCTTTTAACCTTTTATGGCTGTAGATGCTCATATCCCTGAAAGTTGAGAAGCTTGTGATTACTGCAATTTCTGATTTAGTAGAAACTTGGACCATTGGTTTTGGCTTTGTTCCTGTGGAGGAAGAAGAGAAAAGAAGCTTGAACAAAATCAACTTGATGGTGTTTCCAGGAACTGTGATGCTTAAAAAGACACTTTACGTGAATCAAGCTACAGCTCTACCAAATGGTGATTTAGGTTCAATGATAGTCACAGTCATTTATCATACATGATTTTCTAATTACAATGATAAAATGATACTGACCAAAATTGTCCCCAATTCAGGAGTTGAAGATTTCTCTGCTGTGGGCAGTGATGAGTCTTTTAAGGTAGGTAATTGCTTGGAAGGGAATCCTGAAACAAATGCCATGTATGGAAATGCTGGAGACGATCCTTTTAATGGAAATGCAAATGCACTAGAAGTTAAGCCGGTGAGCTTATCTGATATGGAGACAGGTGAAGCTCATAGTGCTACTGCTGATGAAATGGATACTGAAATTTTCAATGGTTTGGGTTCTTTGGAGCAGGAGGATAGGCTTACAAATGTAACAACAGGTTTTAGAAATGAGGAGGAGGTTTTCCATGTATCAGTTGGGTGTGGAATAGAAACAAATGAGTTTGAGGATAGGAAAATTTTGCAATTTGGTTTATTTAGAACGAGTGAAGGTGATAGCCAGATGAAATCCCAATTTTCTGCCGTGGGGTCAGAGATTGGACTTGATATAGAAGATCAGAGCAATCGTTTGCGAGCTGCCAATGACCAATATGTTGTTAGTGCTGTGGAATGCATGGAAACACCACCTGCCCAGAACAAGCCTAATAGCAGAGCTGAAATATTAACCGCAGATAAATTTTGTGGATTTCCAAAATTACTAGAATATATAAATTTAGACAACTCTCTTTCGAACCAATTCACAAGGGAGAGTCTAGATGATTTTGTCTTCAAAAAAATGGAAAAAAATGTAGAACTTCTGCTTGATGATGCAACTAATGCTGAAAGCATGGTTATGGAAGCTGAATCAGTTTTAGAGCTCAGAAATCATGTGGGTTGTAAGGGTGGGGAAAGTGAGATCACCAATGATGCATGTAAAACGAATCAAAATGTGCATTTTAAGTTTGAAAGTTCAGAGACAGTGAAGGGAGATGAAGGATCTGCCGAACCCATGAAAGTTAATGCTTCAAGTAACATTTGTGAATATGTGGCAACTGAAATGGTGAAGTTGGAGGCAGAAAAGGAAGATAAGCAATCTCCTGGAGGTATTGAAGTCAGGACTGCAAGTAATGTGAGAGAAACCATGACTATTAAGTCAGATTATGTGGAAGTTGCAGAGGAAGAAGAGGAAGGTGCTGTAGGCATTAATTGTAGTGAGCAATCTTCTGGAGCTATTGATGTGAGAGAAAGTCTGACTATTAAGTTGATGAATTTAGAGGCTGTGAAGGAAGATGAAGAAGCTTCTGTAAGCATAGATATAGTAGTAGCGAGTGATATGAGTAATATTATGGTAAATAGATTGATGAATTTAGATGTCGTGAATGAAGAAGAGGAAGCTGCAGAAGGCAAGGAAGCAGGGGCTGCAAGAGCCAGTAACACTAGGGAAAACATGTTGACCATGGTGGATTTGGTGACAGTGAAGAAAGATGAGAAAACTAAGTTGGTGAATTTAAAAACAGCGAAGGAAGATGAGAAAACTAAGCTGGTGAATTTGAAAACAGTGAAGGAGAATGATGAGGCGACAAGTAATCTTACTGAAGGTGTGATGGTCAAGTTGGCTGATTCTGAGGCAGACACAGTGAAGGAAGATGGGACTGACGGTAAAGGTGCTCTAAATAATATGAGCGGAAATCTGACATTTAAGTTGGTGAAATCGGATGATTCGGATCTAGTGATGGAGGATGATGAAGATACAGAAGGCATTAAAATTGGAGCTGCGAGTATTCTGAGTGATAATGTGCCTGTTAAGTTGGCAAGTTTGGAGGTGATGAAGGAAATCGAGAACCTTGGGGTCTCAAGTAATTTGTACGCATATGCAACAACAAAGTTGGTTAACATGGATTTATCAAAAGAAAAGTTGGTTAATGCGGAGGTGGTGAAGGAAGAAGAGGAAGCTGCTGAAGCCATGGATTCAGAAGCTGCAAGTAATGATAGTGCAAATATGATGACTATATTGGTGTATTCAGAGGCAGTTAATCATGTAAAGACCGATGAAAGCATGGAAACAATCACCGCAAATAACACAAGTGATGTCGTGACTCCTCATTTAATTAACTCAGGGACAATTCAGGAAGACAGCTATGAAGCTGCTGTTGAAGCTATGGAATTAGGTCCTGAACTCATTGACCACGATGAATTTAGTTTAGGAAAGCGTTCATCGGAACTGTATTGTGAATATAATGTAATCCAAGAGGGGGAATCTGGTCAAGAAACCCAGTATGTAAATGTTGCTGAAAACCAGCTTTCTGTGGTTGAACAATCTCAGCAAGCTAGTGTTTTACCTCCGTAGTAATAATATCAGTGCATATTCTGAATGTTTCTTGTCTTTGTTGCTGTTGAGCTCTAACATAGTCACCGTGTTCTCAGATTCTGTTTGATCAAAGCTTGAGTCAAGGTGAGCTCAAACAGACCTATGTTGGGTCCAAGCTTTAGATCAATATACGGGTCTCAAAGCAACATTGATTTTTGTTTCACAAACTATTGGGTGCGGCAGTTCGCACCCAATGTTTCGTGCGGCAGACATTATGTTTCCTCCTTTCTCCATTATTCTTCACTTTTCTTTTCTTTGAAAATTGCAGAACCTTTCTCTCTCCTCTTTCTTCTTTCTTCCACCTAAAAAACTCCATTGCATGTTCATTTCTCTTTCCTCGTCGGAAAATGTGAAGCAACAAGGCGAAATTGGTGGTGCGATTGAATCTAAGGCTACTAATTTCTTCAATTTTTTTTTAATTTTCATGTGTTTGTGGGCGTTTTATTCTCGATTTGTGGATGTTTTGTGCGTTTTTGGGTGGTTAGGGTTGTTTGAGGTGGTCAAATTTGGTTGTTTTATGTTGATGTTGGTGGTTAATTAAGGTTGTTTTGGGTGGGTAAGTGTTGACTCGAATGAACAATACAGGGGGGGGGGGGTTGAATTGTATTGTAGAGGAACTAGGGTAATTTTTGTGGAATTTATAAAATAAGACTTACAGAAACTTAAAGTGCAAAGAGAGATTTTACGTGGAAAACTTCTTGGCCCTAATCAAGAAGAAAAACCACACGACCACAAGGGATTTTAAAACTCAACTCTTAATTATAATAGGGCAAATAACCTATTACAATCTAAGACTCTAACTCAAGTTCCTCAACGAACTCGAGTTCCCCTTCAACCGATCCCTCAATCAGTTGAACTCTTAAAATTCTCTCTTTCTCTTACCCAAACTCTTACCCCAATACAACTCAAGTTTAAACTCTAATGCTAAGTACAAAGACACTCAAAAACTCAAGTGGATTTTGACTCTTTTCGAAAACTAGAAAATATTGCAATGCTCAAGTATGTTTATGTTTTTCAACAGAAAAACCAAGTCTATTTATAGAGAGGAGAGGTGGTTAATTTTGTCGTTGCTTCAGCTCCACTAAATCACAACTTCCTTAAGAATAGGAACTGCAAGTAGTGGGATCTTGGGCAGCAAGCAAAACACACTTCTTTCTAATAATGCTAAAAGTGTTTTACTGCTCCTTAAATTATCTCAACCGATTTTGACCAAGTAAAACCACATGTATAAAATCCTTTTTCCAAAAACTGATTTTCCAAAAGATAAGTTTAACAATTAAACAGAAAATCTTTTAACTGAAAAAGATATTTTCCAAAATATTTCTTAAAATAAAATATCTAAGACAATATATGGAAAATAAAACTTTATCATATAAAATAAAATCCACTTGACTCCTATTAATTATCAAAGTACTTAACATGAACATAAGAAGCCTAAAATATATAAAAGATAAATTAAACTTCTTCGAACACTCTTTAGGAAACTTTGCCTCTGAAGCTTCTGTTCCTCACTCAAGGAACTTGACTTTTGATTGTCTTCATTACTCTTCTTATCTTCATTAACTGTCTTCAAACATTGTTCTATGCTCCTTTCTTACTCCAGATTTTCGTAGCATACAACTTAGTCCAATCAAGAACCTTTCATCAATCACAGCTAAGAGCATAAGATAGAAAGATAAACTTTTATGACTTTGCTTAGGTTCCTTCGAGTCATCATCAAAACTTAGGGTCAACAGTAAGGTTATTTTCGGGTAGGCAGGGGGTTGTTTTTGAGAGTAGGCTGGTTGTTTTCGGGGTGGGATGGGTTTTTCGGGAGTGGGCTGGTTGCTTTCGCGGTGGGATGTTTGCTGCTGGTGGCGGTTGGTTGCACCGAGGAGAGGTGGGAGAAGACGAGAAGCTGTGATGTGATGATGGTGGTGGTGAAGGTGAGGTGAAGGAGGAGAGAGAAAGTTGGGTTGTGAAGATGGTGAAGACGCCATTGATGATTGTTTGAAGGATGAAGAAGAATTAAGGGGTTTTGATAAATCTGGGAAATTGATAAGAGTGAAAGAGTCATGGTATTGTGAAAATGGCCGTTGGTGTGAAAAGTAGGAAAGAGAAAGATGATTAAGGGGTTTTGATTGTTTGTTATGTTGCTGTGTGTTGGTATGGTAATGATGGCTAGAGGTGGCCAGTGGGTCGGGTTGGACCCAGCCCACCCTAACCCGCACGGCTAATGGTTCACGTGCGTTCGACCCGATTTTGACTCGGTACCAACCCGACACAGCCCGAGTTTAGCTCGGGTTGTATCGTGGGTCCAAAATTTTCGACACAACCTATTTCAACCCAGCTCGTTTTGACCCATTTAATTCGGCCCAACTCGCAGGACCTGTTTTGACCCATTTAATTCGACCCACCCAACCCGACCCAGCTCGCACGACCCAGCCCACCTTGCACGCCCAACCCGTACGGCCCACGACTCAGCTCACCCCGCACGCACGACCCACCCAACCCATCTAACCCCCACGACCCACCCAACTCGCACGGCTCATAGAATTTCTTATTATAAGTATAGGAGTGGTTTGATTGAATTATTTCGTATTTTTGATGGTCGTGTTAGTTTTACAAGTGTTACATGGACTTCTTGTTTTAGCGAACCTTTTCTTTGCATTACTGCTCATTGGGTGGATGATGATTGGTTTATTCAAAAACGTATACTTTGTTTACAAGCTATGTAAGAAAGGCATACCGGTTTTAACATCAAAGTTCGTATTATGGATTGTTTAAAAGAATTTCAGTTGAATGGTAAAGTTTTTTTGTTTTTCTTTTTTTTTTTGGTCTCTTGATAATGTAACTGCAAACACAATGTGTATTGACTATTTGAAAAATGACTCTTGAGTTGAATTTCTTGTTGGGTGGTAATCTCTTGCATGTTAGATGTTGTGCACATATTTTGAATTTATTTGTTCAAGAGGGTCTCGGTGATTTGCAACCATTGCTAAACCGAATAAGAATTGTTATAAAAAATGGATTAGGCTTACTTCCTCAGTTAGATGAAAAGTACAAGACTATGTGTAAAGAGAGAGGTTGTAAGAAAAGACAATGGTCTACTGATACCCCTACCCGTTGGAATTCTACTTTCAATTTATTGAATGATGCTATTAAGTATCGTGATGTTTTGACCCAACTTTACAATGAGGCCCGTGTTGATCCTAGTGAGTTAATAACCGAAAGCCATTGGAATTAAGGCTGAGCAAAACTATCTGAAGATCCGAAAATCCGATGATCCGATCCGCATACGATCCGAAAATTATGGATATCCGATCCGAATTTGATTTCGCATCGGATATTCAATCCGGATTTTTCGGATATCGGATATCCAAATTTTGGATTACGGATATCCGATATCCGAAAAAAGTTGGATATCGGATATCGGATATCCGATCCGATATCCGAAAAAATCACCCATATAAAAAAAGACAAACCCTAAAACTACCCTCAATCCCCACTTCCCCAGACCCCACCCGCCTCTCTTCTTCTCTTTCTCTCTGACTTTCTCTCTCTTCCCCTCTTCTCTCTTGCCCTCCTTAGATCGATTTTCCGACCATCCCATCCCCCTTCCTATCCCTCTCTAGCACCCTCCCTGCTCTTGAATTAACAAGACATGATGTTAATACATTGGCGGAGCAATTTCTTGAGAAATTCGAGCCCTGAGCCTGAGCCGAGGCCGAAATCCCGGGTTTTGGAACTCCCACCACGGGCGGAACAGCCTCCACCTAGGCTTGAGCATGTTTTGGCTCCTGTTAATCATGCCCCAATTAACCTGAAACCCCAACCAGCCAACCTGATCCCTAACCCAGAAACCCCCCAGGCCACCTCCTTGAAATTAAGAACTGCAACACCGCAAAACCCCTTGAAATTGAGAACTCCGGCACCGCGAAACCCCCCACCTCCTGAAACCCAGAAAACAACAGGGGTGGCTGCCGGCCTGCCATTGGGGATAAAGAGGGTTAGCAGGGGAAGTTTTTTTATCACCACCACCACCGCCGCCGCCACGTGGGAGGTCGGAATTCACTCCATCTCATCTTCCTACTTCCACCCACCACCACCTCCGAACTTCTCCTTATCATTTTAATCGTAGAAAACAAGTTATCATCATATCAGGACTCTACAATCCTAACAAGGGTCGGATATTGGATATCCGAGTTATCCGATCCGAAAGTTTCGGATATCGGATATCAAATATCTGGATTTCGGATACGGACGGATTTCGAATCGGATATCCGATCCGTGCTCACCCCTAATTGGAATATAATGCCTCTTTTGTTCGTGTGTTTTATACGCTTTTGATCATGCAACTCATATTTTCTCTTATATCTATGAGTCTAACATTCATTTAGTTATATTGGAGTGTGTTAAAGTTGTTCACACCATTGAAGAGCATATGAAAATTGATGGACTTCGTACCGTTTTTGATAGCATGAAACTTAAGTGGCATACTTATTTTAGTGAATTCTCAATTATTTATAGAATTTCTACTGCACTTGACCCCGGTGTCAAAGCTGAAGATTTGAAAAATCATTGTTAATTTTGTAAAAATTAAACAACCTTAAAAATAAATATGTGCAAAAAATAATTTCAAAATTAAAGTTCAAAACTATTATAAAAACAAACTTGTATATTTTTTTGACCAACACAATCCACTTAGCTATTTGGCTCACCCGACCCTAACCCACAAACCCAGCTCGACCCACCCTCCGACCTATCTCGACCCATCCTCCAACCCACCTAACCCACGAACCTAGCTCGACCCACCCACGACCCGTCTAACCCACAAACCAAGCTCGACCCACCAACGACCCGTCTAACCCACAAACCCAACCTTGGTGTGTCCAATTTCTCTAACCTAACACACGACCTGGCCCACCCTACCCTACATGGGTCGTGTCGTGTGTCATGAAACCCCAACCCGCAACCCACCTAACCCTAACCCAACTTGCACAGCCCGCACGGTGGACACCTCTAGTAATGGCAGG